TAGGTTCTATGTTTTGAGTATGCGCGCGAAGGTAGTGCGGTCTTTGACCTCAGTTACGGTGTGATCTCATAGGAAGAGGAGGAGGAAGAAGAAGAGGAGGATGAGGAGGAGGGTGGGGCGGGGGGCGGGACCAGGTCGTGGATCGATCTGAGTGGGCTTCCTTCTCTCCCTCCTGCTTCTCCTGATTGCGGGGACATCGATCTGAGTTGCCTTCTTCCTTCCTATCTTGTGTCTTTCGTTGTGCGGGGCCCGAGGTGCAGAAGCTGCATGATAACGTGGCCCGCCTCGCCTTCCAGGATGAGCGCAAGCCACTCGTCCTCACAGTGGTTGGCGCGGACGAGGTCGAGCAGGCAATCCGCTTAGGAGACATGTCCTCTTCCACAGGAGGTGGAAGAGTGGGAGGAAGCGGAAGGCAGGGAGGATGAGGACGCAGAAAAGAATGAGGAGCGAGTTGGGGCACAAGGAGGAGAAGTGGACGGAGAAGGCGGAGAAGGCGGAGGAGGAGGAGGAGGAGGAGGAGGGAGTGAACGAATGCTTATCTGCATTCGCATTCGCAAACGCTCAAAACTGTTAGGCACACATGCGCGGCATGCCCTGTACAAACAAGATCCCATGGGTGCCCTTAACATCGGTGGGGGCGCGCTCGAGGGAGTAAAAGCCGTCAGATCGATAGTCAGTAAACAAGCTCTGAACAGCCACAGCAAAGAGCAGTTTGCAATCCAACTGGGTCATGCCGCTCTCCCATCCATGCTGCAATTTGCACGTGCGTAGTTGGATTACTGACTGTACTCGCGGAGTGCCCTGCACAGACGATTCCACAAGCTAATTCGTTCACAGCGTGTCGCGCGTGGGTCACAATGCCCACCTCACCATCCAAGACTCACGATCTGCCCAAGGAGGCCGACAGATGTACACTTTCTGCGTGCGTACGGGTCGCTGGGCACGAGACGACTGAGTCGGGGCACCGCCTGTGGAACGGTGGTTTCCTTGCGACATGGTGTCCCAGGGCGTGCGCCGCAATGGCCCAGGCAACCGGATTATCTGCAAGTCGGGGATCCCAAGCCACCCATCTTCAATGGGCACAGTTTGCCGTGAAGATGCGGGTTCCGTAGAAACAGTAAAGCGCTTGCGTCACAATCCCGCCTCCATATGTTCAGCCTGTCTTCGACGAATCGCACGATGCATGCATCATGTTCCAGATTCGTCTTGGAAGCATTGCTCAGCGATTTAAGAAACTTGGCCCCCATGCGCGCAAGCGCACAAGGATTTCTCGCCAGGCCCCGCTCGAGATACTTGCGCGACGCCATCACTTCCCTTGTGTGACAGAGAGCGCGGCAAACCTGGAACCAGCTGCAACGCAGGTCCCACTGCAATGTCAATCACTTCCTGCAACCATACTCTGGCAGCGTCGAAGTTTGACCCACATCTGCTGGCAAAGCATTCCGCCTCTTCCGCACGGTACGCCAACCAGATCTCGATGGGGGAAGTCGAGTTCCATCAGACGTTGTGTTCGCCTAGGTTTGCCTTGGTTTTTCAACAAGAAGATAGCATCACATTTCTTTTTGCAGTCCCTTAACGTCCACGCCACAGCCTCAATAAGCTCAGCCCACGGCTCCTTGGTAAAAACATAAAAACTAGGATGTCATCGGCTTCCAACCTGGGTTACACAACGCCTGCGCCAGGCCAGCCAGGGCGCAATCGGTGAATTGGCACGCGCCGTCACATGGCCAGAGTTGGGCACGCAACTTCTTTAGCGACCCACTTGGGAATATAGTGCGCACAATGTTGTAAAGGGAATCCGTCGTTCTGCAAGCCAGCGTCAAGGATCGCAGCCAGTGGCACTGGCGAACAAACAAGCGGCCTAAAACGAACACGCTCCCTGTCCAGCGGCCTTGGGCGAAATGACGTAAAGCCTACCCACAAGTTGGGGCTTTCATGCTTGTGGTGCCATGTTGCCTTCAGACGATCAAACGGAAGATGGCTACAGTCTGACAACAGGACGACATCACCGATTGCGTCCTTGCACGGCGAGTCGCCAAACGACATATCGATACAGAGATGCAAGCTCTCCACTCGCCCAGCACATGGGGGTAATTGCGAAATTCATGCAACAAGTGATCATGTCCAGGACAATCGATTCCGCTTGAGTTCGCGATTGATACAGGGCAGTACAAACGATACCATCCAGATGCCCGAGATATCAAGCACCTCTTCACCACAAGATCATTACCACGATGCGTTCACTTCCGAAGCGATGGAGTTGAATTGAATTGCCGTCGATGGTTTGAAGCGCGATCGCCCCGTTCAGCTTGGAAGCACGCCTGGCAAGACACCATCCCCTGACATCACCAAGCAGAGCGCACACATGACCATGGATTTGGAGAAACGCCCAGTAACTCTGCCCTGCGCAGGGAGACACCAAGCTGACCGGCGGCATCTGAAAGATGGAGCGGGAGTTGCCCGCCAGATGAGTAATGTTGTTGGCTCTGGTGGTGCACACGGTGAGGTTAACAATCGTAGGTCCGAAACGTTTGTGCTTCTGCCTGGCCAGAACAAAGCGGACGCAAAGGCCACATCGAAGTCCAGACAATGTCACAGGCATGGTAGTGCGTTTGCATCCGCAAGCGTCTGGACAGAAAAGAAGCGCATCACACAGCGTACGACGAGTCGTGCATGAAATGCGTGCGTTCGTGTTCGCCCAAGTAACGGCTCGTTGCGGCAAACATGTGCAGACGTTCCATCGGAGACTAGTTCCTGATAGTCCGAACATTGACTTGTGTTCAATCGGGTTTTCTGCCAAAGGGGATGCCGTGCAAGTGCCACAAGTTTGTTCGCCGGGTGTCCCATATATCACAAGGCAATGCATTCCGCAGCGCCGACGCTACGACTCCACGGAGCCGTATGATTGCTTGAGAAATGGGGTTGTTGGAAGGATTATTTTCGGATTGTTGGAAGCACGGGTTTACGCATGCCCTCCATTATTGTCCAGCGAGGCACAAGACAAGGCGATGACTTCTGATCCGATGAAGACTCTTACCGGCTCTGACGTCAACCTCGTGTTCCCTTCTCTGACATTCAGCTCCTCCGTCCCCCCCTCCTCTCGTGTCCCCTTCTCACACCTGCTGGGCGCCCACTCCACCGGCTCTGACGTCAACCTCGTGGTCCCTGCTCTGACGTTCACCTCCTCCTTCCCCCCCTCCTCTCCGTGTCCCCCTCCCGCACCTGCTGGGCGTCCCCCCCCCGCGATTCGTGAGTGGGTCGGGCCGCCCAGCCTGGATAGGTCGGGCCGTGGATCAGGCAGGGCCCTCCAGAGAGGGCTTCGCCCTGGAACTGGTTCTCTTCGGCAGAAGGCGGCGGAAGCAAAATTCAAGCAGTGGCGAAGCGTCTTGGCTCGCCCATTGACCCACCGAAGAATGCTCTGAGAACCCTCTGTGGTTTGCAAGAACGGTTCTTAGCACATGTCTGGCCGAGACTGTCTTGCTTTTTCGCATCGGGTTTATGTTCTCAGAACATTGCTCTGGTTATGAGAACATCTCTGGTTTCTAAGAACGTTTCGTGGTAGGCTGATGGGAATGCCGGGACGGTCGGTCCCTGTTCAAAAAACGGGCGCGGTTCCACCGGCAGAAGCTCGGTAGAATTCGGTTGAGGTAAAAGACGAGAGGGGTCGTCGCTAGTAGTTATCGTGGTCCTAGGTCGAGTTTTAGGGAAGCCGATGGCACGTCTCGAAGCTGTTGGGGACCTTCTGGAGGTGTCTCGTCGCCACGGCTGGATTCCCGTACAGTTTCTAGTCCAGATGCACCAGGACTTGTCTAGGGATCTTGCTCTAAACAGCAACAAAGGGGTCATGGGAGAATGGGCTCCTGAGTCTTGTTTTGGTTCGTCGTTTTCGGCATCCCATGGCCCTCCCGGGCCCCGGGACCGCAGAACAGAACCTGGAATGAAGCATCTGTCGCAAGGAAATCTTTAGGGGCCAAGACGCGTTCCATAGAGGAGGAGGAGGAGGAGGAGCAGGAGCAGGAGCAGGAGCAGGAGCAGGAGCAGGAGCAGGAGCAGGAGCAGGAGCAGGAGCAGGAGGGAGGAGCAGGAGGGAGGAGCAGGAGCAGGAGAAGCAGGATCAGGAGAGGGAGAAGGAGAAGGAGGAGTAGGGAGTAGGAGGAGAAGGAGTGGGAGTGGGAGCGGGAGGCAAAGAGGGAGGACGCCGGGGAGGAGCGGGGAGGCGGACCCTTGGAGGGGGACTTCCCAAGGCAGTGAGTATGCTCACCGGGCTCCAGAGTCTTGGAGAGGAGGCGCTTGTCCTCACCGTCGGCACCAGCGCGCACATCTGCAAGGCCCTGAAGGATTCCCCGGGGGTGTCTGGCAGCAAGTGCATCGTCGTGCAGCCCACGCAGGAGAGAGCAGAACAAATGCGGGGCGCTACACCTAGACTTGCGAGGGATCGTGTTTTCCAGTCCTGGCGGTTGTTCCTCGATTTTGGCCTGCGGGGGCCGCCTTGGTTCCAGGACCACCACTCATGGATTTGGGGAACAGGTTGTCCCGGGGAGAGGGGACGAGAAGTCTGTGGCTCGTAGGTCTTTTCCAAAAAAGAGGAGGAAGAGAAGAGAAATAGAGGAAGGGGGAGAAGGAGGGGGTCGCACCAGTTCGAGCGGAATATCCGTCTGGGCGCGCGGTATATTCGGTCCCCGCCGCGCCCACCTCTTGTGGCGGGAGGTGCCGCTTATGAGAAGCAGGGGTGGGGATACTACCCTCCCCCTGGCGCGGTCTGTGGGGACCACGACTGGAGAACAAAAACGGGATGTGGTGAAAAGGGTGAGATTCGCTTTTGTTGTACGCCCGCGGACAGAGAGGCACCAGCTTTACACACGCTCTGGCATTCGTGACCTGGCGCCCGCAGTAGTAGAGGCGCTGGGGAATCCACCGCGGCGGCCCAGTCCTAGGGCTATGGCGAAGATGCCAGCAGCTCACGCAGCTCATTCAGAAAATGGAGAGGTCAGCACTGGGTGCCATGCAGCTTATGACCAAGTCTGGTAGCACTCTGATGCAGCGTCGTGCTGCTGGTAGTGCTGGCAGTCCCTCGGTCATGATCAACGAATGACTGGCGGCTGCACGGCGCTGCGTGGCGCGATTCCGCACGGTGGCCTGTATTGGCGTCGGTCGGATACCTACACCCTGGTAGGTGGTGCCGAGGCTGTGAGGCCGTGGTGCCTTCACCCTGGTCTCGTCACCCACAGTTGGGTTGGCAGCACTGGCCGTGCCAACTGCGCCTGGTGGCGAGTGGCTGGGCCGCGCTGGTGTGAGCTGCGCGTTCTTTGGCCGCCTCATCCTCGCCTGGTGGCGGGTGGGTGGGCTGCTTTGGTTTTAGCCTCACACGGTCGGCCTGGCGAAGTGCGTTGCGTTGAGGTTTGGCGCAGGTACTGGCCCACCCGGGGGCCCGGTCCGCGATTCGTCGCCAACCCCGCGCGTGTCTTCACTTCGGTCGTAGGCTCCTGGGGCGGGGACCTGGTGGTCGCCCACTTGCAGAGACGTAGTCGCCTCGTGCCTTTGAGGCAGCGGGGCGGGCCAAGGACGGACGGTGTGGGATGAGCTACGTCCCGTGTAGCTTGCGAGGTAGTCGGCCTGACGCTGAGGCCGGATTCTTGGTGGCTCCCCGCGTCCAGGGGCATCGCGTGCCGCCTTGTTGCACTCCCGCCGTCGTGGTGCGCGTCGTACAATCCAGTCGCATTGTTATACGTGCCGAGTCGCCCCGCGCTCACCTTCGTGGTGTTCAGCGTGTTCGCGATGGCGTTGCCGTGGCTTTCTGTTGGCGGCCTGGCAACCGGGGCGTGGTCCTGGTGGCCACCCGCCTCCAGAGGTATCATCGCCCTGTGCCTTCTCGCGCGCGGGGAGGGCGTGGGCGGGAAAGTAAGGGCTGAGCTGCGTTCCCTGTGGCCGAGCCCCCATGGAACATGCATGGTCGGCGTCCTGGCACCTGGAGCGGGGTCCTGGTGCCCCCCCGCCTCCAGAGGCGTCCCGTGCTGTCCCGTCGCACTTTCAGCGTCGTGGTGCACAGCGTGCTGTCCCGTCGCACTGCCCGCGTCCCGTTCCGTGGTGCGGAGCTTGGCGTCGCGGTGAACGCCGTGATGTTGCCCGTGTATCCTGGGAGGTCGCGTTGCCGTGCCGGCCCTATCTCCACTCCTCCGTCAAGCCCCGGGGGGGCGCCGCGAGGAGCGCAGCTGTCCTCCGCACGGCGCGGGACCGCAAGGTCTCGGACATCGCCTGTAAGGGGGTTTGAGCCAAGGGGTCGCGGTGCCCGAGGGGATCTCCCGCTTTGGCAGGGATTCCGCTGGGAGCACCGCGCAGTTGGCACCCACCCACCAGCCGCGTGGGCGAGCCTGAGAGACCTCCCCAAGGCGTGGCGCGACCAGAACCGCCAAGGAGGGAACGACACCGTCGTCATGCTCGTGATCACGGTGCTGGTCCCAGAAGTGTTGGCAAGAGGCGTGGTGCACGTAGCAGTGTTCGTCTCTCTCGCGGATGTGAGGTAGCTGGTGATGTATCCCGTCGTACAGCTCAACGCCAGGGTGCTCGCTTCCATCGTGCTGCTGGTAGACGGCCTGGCGCCTGGGGCGCGGTCCTGGTGGCCACCGGCCTCCAGGGCGTCATAGCCTCGTACCTTCTCAGTCGCGGGAGGGTCGAGGTAGGGGCCGGCAGGCTCGTCCAGGCGGCCGCCAGGAGAAGGCGCCCGTCCAGACGGCCGCTGTTCACAATGCAATGCTCCTCCCACTCGGTGTAAGGCTGCTGATGCTGGATCCCGTGGCATTGCACGTCGTGGTGGTGCTCCATTCCGTCGTGCTGCACGGTGTCTCGGTGCTGGTCGCGAAGGCGTTGCTGGTAGACGTGCTGCTCAAAACACTACCCATCCCAGTCGTGAGTGTGAGGCTGCTGGTGCCCAGGTGCGCGGGCCCCTGTGGGCTGGCCTGGGACCTCCTTGCGCGGTTCGTCGTGAAAGTTAGGGTGTTGGTGCTGGCTCCCGTCGTACTGTTCGACGCTATGGTGCTCGGCCCCCTCGCGCCGCTCAGAGCCGAGGTGCTGGTGACAGACGTGCTGCTGAAAGACGTGGTGATGCAGGGTCCCGTCATGCTGCTCAGCATCGCGGTACTCGACCCCGTCGCGTTGCTCCGAGTCGAGTGAATCGTCGCAGGCGTGATACTGAAAGACGTGGTGTTCGACGCACGGCTCGTCTGATTCTCGCTCGAAATTGCTGCAGCTGACTCACGTCGTATTAGATGTCGCATTGCTCGACTGCGTCGTGCTACACAGTGTCACGATGGTCCCAGGCGTGGTGGTCCAAGCATGATGCTCGTAGCACTGCTCGTCTCACTCGTAGATGTGGGCGTGCTATTGCTGGGTCTCGTCTCGATGCACAACGTCGTGAGGCTTGATGCCGTCGTACTGCTCAGAGTCGAGGAGTTGGTCTCTGACGCGCTGCTCGAGGACGAGGTGCTCCTCGAACTGCTCGTCTTCCTCGTAGTAAGGCTGTTGGTGCTGTATCCCGTCGATCTGTGCAATGCCGGTGTGCTCAACTCCGTCGCGTTCCTTGGAATCGAAGAACTGGTCACAGCCGCGTTGTCGAAGAAAGTGTTGTTAGCTGCACTGTTCGTCTCGCTGTTCATCTCGCTCGTGAGCGTTAATCTGGGCTGGGGCTTCTCCTGCTGCTCGACGACGTAGTGGTCGATATCGTCGTGCTGCACGGTGTCGCGATGGTCCCAGATGTGCAGCTCGATCACGTGGTACTGATTGCACTGCTCGTCTCACTCTTTGGTATGCGGCTGCTGGAACTGGATCCCATTTAGGTGTGCAACGTCATGGGGCTTGACCCGGGCGTGCTGTGCAGTGCCGAGGTGGTCCCTGACATGTTGCTCGGCGACTTGGTGCTCGCTGCACTACTCGTCTCACTCGTAAGAGTGAGGTTGTTGGTGCTCGACTCTGGCCTGCCGGGCAGTGTCAGATACCTGGTACTGTACGTGGTGCACAGAGACCTGGTGCTCGTAGCAGTGCTCGCCGCAGTCGTGGGCGCGAGCCCTGGTGTGCTGGCCACGACCATGGGGGCAAGGAGGATAAGGAGCGAGCTCGCCCTGGTCAGGTTTTTCAGCGAGTGCGCTGGAGTGGTGCTCTGCAAAGTGTGGTCAAGTGGTTTTAGTGAAACGTACGGGCCGAGGCCAGCTAAGACCGTCGACCGCCCCACGACGGTAGGAGAAGAAAAACCGTGCTGCAGAAAACGCCCAATGTGATGAGCGATCCTGGCACTCCTGTCGCAGCAATGCAGAGAGGGAGGGTTGGGGTCGATGGAGAAGCGGATCCCGCCCGCACAGGCATCACCTTCGCTGTTCGGTGCGTCTTCTGTTTCTCGTTCAGCCGCTCTCCCGGTCAGGCGCTCGTGAGGGCTTGCACCGATGAACTCATGCGGGGCCTCCTCAGCGTCACCCTCAAGGACAGCGGAGAGAAATGAACCGATGGAGGGGTTGCCGTCCGCATCGGCGTTTCCGGAACTTGCGAAGGCGCTCCCGTTGTCGCGGGCCAAGCCCTAGGGTGAGCGTGAGCCTTGTCGGTGCCACAGTCGCTGGTGCGACGGCTAGCATCGGCGGTGCGAGCTCGCCCGCTGGCACGGGCTTCCGCATGTGCGCAGGCGGGCCTGGTGGCTCAGCCGTGTGCCCCGCAGTCGACGAGGCTGACGTCTCTGCTGACCTGGGCCCTGACGCTGACGGAGTGTTACCTCTCACCCGCTTGGCGTCCTCGGTGAAGCTCGGCGTCTGCGGAGAGCGAAGGATCCAACTCGATGCGAACAGGAAAGCAGTGCTGTAGTCAGCAGGATTACCCAGTACTGGTAATGATCCCCCACGCGGCCAATGACAGTGCCGTGTTGGCTGTTCATGGGGCTTTTTGGATGGGCGGAGGCACGGGTGGGGGGACGAGGCCTGTGGTGTCGGGCAGCGCGTTGAACCTTGGTGCCTTTTGCGTTACCTGGCTACCTGGCACGCTGGGGCCCCATGCGTCACAGGGGTCCCGTTCATCGCAGGAGTCCTATTCGTCGCAGCGGCACGCGTCCGCCTCGTCGTAGGGGGGCCATTCGCCGTCCAAGACGTCAGCTCGCGTCTGTGTCAAGAAGGCCTACAGGCCTGTGTTCAGGCTGGCTTGCTCTCCTTGGATGGAGGCGGTTTCTTTTTCGAGCTAGTGGCATTGGTGGGCCAGTGTAACCTGGCTGGTGGCCACGCTGGTCTTCGTGGTTTCAAGGCACAGGACTATGTCCGCGAACCTCTGCTGCTCCGCGTCGAAGCTGCGGAATCGGGCGTCGGTCTGATGGGGGGTCCCCTTGACGCTCAGTCTGGATAGCCAGTCTCCGCCCGAATCTTCGTCGTAGCTCGGTGGCTCCTGACGCTCGGGGGGTTTTGGGGGATGCCGCTGGCGTGTAAGGTCCGTGACTGGCCCTCTTGAGTGAAGACGCGATCGGGACGTCCCAGGCTGGTGCACCGAGGCAGATGAAATGGGCTGTGCTGTGTTCCTGGTGGATGACGGCTGGGGCCATAAAACCCTGGACGGTCACGGTCGGTGCCCGTATTGCGTGTGATGGCAAAAGACAGTTTTATGTCTCGGATCTGGAATGTCCTACACACTTTCACCAGCTCGCTCCTGAGCCACGGCTGGTTGGCATTGCCGGTAAGCGGTTTCGAGGTCGGTTGGATGTTTTTAAGACAAGCTCGTCGTAGGCTGCAGCAGCCCGGTCTGCGCCACCATTGTTTGGAAAGCAGCGGTGCAGGACTCCTGGCGCACGAGAAGGTTCTTTGGAAAGGAGGCGTGGCGGCCCTTGCCTGATGGCTTCCTCGAGCCGAGGTTGGAGAAGGAGGGGGAGAGGAGGATGAGGAGGAACAGGAACAGGAACAGGAACAGGATGAGGGGGAGTCACGACTGCGCTGAGGGACAAATGATCCCCATCCAGAGGCGTTGAGGTTATTTTTGGCCCAGACCCCACTCGGCCCCCATTTCCCCCCTGCCCCCCCCCACCCCCGTTGCCGCAGGTCTCGCAACGTCGGAGCTGATAGCTCAATCGCTGAAAGGCTGAAGGGGGGAGGGGTGGGAGGAGGAGGAGGAGGAGGAGGAAGAAGAGGGTGATGGGCAGGAGGGGTGGAAGAAGGAGGACGAGGAGGAGGAGGAAGATCCGTTTTGAGTTGATTCGGCCACTGCGGCGCTTGAGAGACGACGGGTGAGGAGGGAAGAGGAGGAATTGAAGACGACGACAAATCTGGAGAGAGGGTGAATACGAAGAGGAGAGTGAAGGCGGAGGCAGCATCCGGAGCAGCAGGAGGCGAAGGATTACACAATTGTTCACGCGTTCCTGAGGAAGTCCGCCTCAGCGTGTTCAAGCATGCGATCTTGACCACTGTAGCGCTGGCAGGCCTCACCGACCGCATCATGTACGCCTCTCCCCAGGTAGTCTTACCGGGATTCAAGAATCGTTACCCACATTGATAAGTTAGTTATCCTAATCCGCATCACCATGTTTCCTCCCTGTATTCTTTCATCCCCTCTCTTCCTCTCCCCCTAACCGTCGTCATCGTCATCATCATCACCATCATCATAGCCATTATCATCATCAGCATAGCCGTTATCATCATCAGCATTGCAATCAGCATCATCACCATACCAATCAATATCATCATCATTATCAGCATCATCATCACCATCATCATATCAATCATCATCATCATCATCATCATCATCATCATCATCATCATCATCATCATCATCACCATCATCACCATCATCATCATCAGTATCATCATCAGCATGATCGTCATGATCATCATCATCATCATCATCATCATCAGCATCAGCATCATCATCATGCGACGGGGTTGGTGCCTCCTGCCTCTACATGTGGCCCTCGTAACAGCAAGACCGGCGGGTCCTCGGCGTGCGCGGCCTGCGGCTCGCCGGCCACGAAGGCTGGCCGCGGCGGATGTCTCGTGCAGCGCGAGCCCGCGGACCGTCGGCAACTGGCCGCGCGGAGGGAGGGGTAGGGCAGGGCCCTCCGAGGCAAGGTCCGGCACATAGTGAGCGTGGCTATCCTGAGAACATTGCTTAGGAGGAGGAGTTGGAGGAGGAGGAGGAGGAGGAGGAGGAGGAGGACGAGGAGGAGGAGGAGGAGAGGGAGGAGGAGGAGGAGGGCCACGGGTCGTGAGTGCGTTTAGATCGAGGTGCGCCGGGCTGCCCCATCGTGTCCGCCTCGCACGTCACTAGCCGGGCCGCTTCGAAGGTGGCGGCATTGACAGGTTCATGTCTGGCGATCGCTTTGAAGCACACGCCGCCAGAGGCGTGTGTCGGAGTGCCCAGCTGTGCTTTATGCGATGCAGCCATGCTCCTGATTTTCACCACCAACACAATCGTCATTACCAGTACTTGTACCATAACAGTCACTACCACCACCATCATCGTCATGAACTGCATCACCATAGCCATCATCATCAGCATCAGCAGCATCATCATCAGCATCATCATCGTCATCATCATTACCATCACCATCACCATCACCAGCATCGCCACCATCATGAATATGAACATCCACATCAACATCATGGCAGTCATCGGCACAGTCATCATCGTAGCCATCATCATCACAGGCATCAGCAGCGTCAGCAGCATCATCAGCATCCTCATCAGCATTATCATCATCATCATCATCAGCAGCATCATCATCATCCGAGCCATCATTCTCAGCATCACCATTCTCAGCATCAGCATCATCATCCTCGTCATCATCATCATCATCAGCATCATCATCATCATCACCATCATCATCATCATCATCATCATCATCATCGCCAGCATCACCGCCAGCATCATCACCCTCATCATCATCATCATCATCATCATCACCATCATCAGTATCACAGCGCTGCCGTTTTTCTTTGGTCCTTCTAGCAGCATCCGTTCTACCTGCTCGGGTGGATGGGACATCCCAGACAGGCCAACACTACGAATCATGATGTCTTAGCGCCGAGGACGAGGATCGATGACTTGGCCGCCCAGGTTAGGTGGAACTGGTGCTGATGGGTGGAAGCTGCGATGTAAGCCGCCTTGGATGCGCAAGTCCGATGACGTGGCCAACGCTTTGGAGGACCACCTGGCCGTGAAGCACTTCAGCGTTGAGGGCCAATTGGCGTTCCGTGCGCCGCTCTTCGTGCCGCGCCAGGCACCTGTTGACCTTTTTCGGGCTCAAGAGGAAGCGCAACAGCATCAAACTGTACGTTTAACGCGTCTTCATCTTGGACGACTGCGACGAGCTGATTCCCGAGTGGCTCAACGTCGCGAACGGCGCGGTTGACTCCGAGGACCTGCCGTTGAACGTCTCCCGAGAGACGTTGCAGAAGAACATGCTCCTGCGCGCGATCAAGAAATGCGTCAAGAAGTGCCTCGAGATGCTCGCGGAGACTGCCGAGAAGGAGGATGACTACAAGAAGTCCTACGAGCAGTTGGGCAGTGCTTCAAGCTGGGCGCGCACGAGGGTTTCACCAACTGTACCATGGTCGCGGAGCCTATGCGTTACCACGCTTCGAAGTTTGGAGATGAGACGATCAGCCTGAAGGAATACATCGACCGTATGAAGAAGGGGCAGAACGACATCTACGAGGGGGAGAGCAGCGCTGCGGTGTCGCCCTCGCCGTTCCTGAAAACTCTGCGCAAGAAGTGGCTCGAGGTCTTCTAAGTGCAATTATGATTGGTGTACTTAGTTTATTGTCCACCTCGCCTGACGCGAGCGGCGCCTTGAGGTTAGTCCCCGAGGGCCACGAGCGTATTTCACCTTCTGGAGTCCCTCGGCTCTATGAGAGGGGCTGCGTTCAGGGGGCCAGCGCCACAGGGCCCCCCGTTCTCTATGTTGTACACGCTCGCGTGGTATGTTAAGACGCGGAGCTAGTTGGCCGAAGGTTTGCGGTGGCCCACTGACTGACTGTGCGCCCAGGCGTGCATTTTTCCTTCGGCGAGGACCATCGAGGAGCATCCTTGATCATTTGGCGAAAAACCCACGCACGAAACAAAAAACACAGGGAATGGACGTCCGAGCGATGCCCACGTATCGGTCCTTCCCTCCTCATCTCTCTTCTTTCCGTCCTCGTAATCCTCCTCTGCGCACCATTCCCCCATACTCCTCGTCCTCATCCGCCTCCCTCCTCCGCCTCCTCGTTATCATCCGTCCCTCCCTCTAGCTCTTACCCCTCTCCCTCCTCCCCTCCCTCCCTCCCTCCCTTCCTCATTGTCCTTTTCCTCCTCCTCCTTCTCCTCCTCGGCCTCCTCCCCCTCCTCTTTCTTCCCTTCCTCTTCCTCCTCCTCCTCCTCCTCCTCCTCCTCCTGCTCTTCCTCCTGCTCCTCCTCCTCCTCCTCCTCCTCCTCCTCCCCCTCCTCCTCCTCCTCCTCCCCTTCTTCCGCATCCCTCTCCCCAGGCAGCGTTCGCGAAAGCGCTGTCCCCGCAGCTCGCGGCATCCGACATGCGCATCCTCTTCGCGAGGAGCTGCGGCTCGCTCCATGCCCCGCCTTCCCCCGGAAGCCTCGCCATGGTGCGCCGCGTGCGCAGTCTATGCGTGGTGGCCATGGGCCGACCCGATGGACAGGAGGGATGCGGCGATGAAGAGGAGGAGGAGGAGGAGGAAGCAGAAGAAGCGCGGCATTAGCAACAAGAGGTGGAGGGGCTCAAGAGGAGAAAGAGAAGGATGAGGAGCAGGAACGGGACAAGAGTGATAATCATAAGGAAGATGGAGAGGACGCGGGAGGGAGAGAGGGACAGGAGATGAGAGGAGGAGGAGGAGGAAAACAATGGATGATGATGAAGAAGAGGAGGAGGAGGAGGAGGAGAGAAGGAGGAGGAGATCTGAAGGGGGGAGGGGGAGGGAGGGAGGAGCAGGAGGACTGAAGAAAATGAGGAGGAGGAGGAGGCCAGCCCCGCAAGGAGCGCCGCTCCAGCTGGAGACGTTGCCGGTTGCATCCAGGACGTCTCCATCCAGGAGTCTCCTCGTCCCTCCTCTTTCCTTTCATCCCTCATCTCTCGGCGTGCGGCCCGCATTCCCCAGCCTCTCACAGGTGTTCTTCGATGTCTCTCTCGTTGCTCATGGCCTCCCTGAGGGTTTCATGAATGTGATACGCGCCGTGTACAAGCTCCCACTAGGCTTCGCGAGACTTGCGCCCTCCAGGGAGTTTTTTGCTTCATCATCTCCAGAGTATTACAGGGATGCCCGCTGAGCGGATCTCTCTTGGCACTCACGTTCGACCTCCCGCTCCGTCACCTCCGCGCGCTGCATTCAAGAGATTCCCTTGCAGCGGCCTGTGCTGACGACGTTGGCGCTATTCTGGCAGAGACGCCTGCTCGGCACTGTGCTTGCGCCCTTCGGGGTTATGCGTTCGCTGGACAGTCTCGCGCTCCAGCTGAAGAGATGCAGGTGTGCACCAGTTCGGTGACCGTGCTCACTCCAGGTCGAGGGCGAGGTGCGCGCTCTCATCTGCGTCAGCGAGTTCTGGCGCCTGCGAGCACACGGGTGTTTACATGGGCCTGGCCGCAATGCATGCCATGCAGTGGCGGGCTGTTGCCCAGAGGTGGTGGGTGCGCGTTCTGATACAGGCTGCCGATGGCGGTCCGATGGCAATAGATATAGAATACATGAAACCATATATGTGTGTATGTATGTAAATGTATGTGTGAGTTGAGGTATGTATACACATTACTTATATTATACATAGATATAGTAGAGAGAAGATGTCTGCTCTGTAAACGGGTAGCTATACGTACACACTTGCGTCATCTTGACGGTGTTTGTGTTGTCATATGTCGTTCAGTGTGATTAGTCGTGTATTGCAAACCTTGCGATGCAATATTTCAGCAGTGAACAAGGTCTGCCGCCTACCCACTGATGCGCTGAAGCTGGCCGATGTCCATTCTTTCCGTTCATGTGGAAAAGCGGGGCTCCCATCCATCGTCACCTAAAGCGCCGCCGCAGCTTGGCGATCTTACTCGTTCAAGGTTGACGGGATGTGGCATCTTCGGCTGAATGCGTTGTCATAAATTGCCCATCTGCATGGCACCCTTGCCCGATGGTGCCGTGGATTGATTAATCCGTCCTTTGGGTCTAGCAGCAGCAGGGCATTGGTAAGATGTACTCCTACCTAGATTTAATCCTGCAAGGCTGGTCCAGTTTTCTCTTCTCGTCGACAGATCTTGATTGCCTGCTTGCGCGCTCTCACAGGGCGGCCGCAAGGCGGTCGCCCAAGCTGCACGCAACCGTCAATGTCCTTCCATAGACGATGATCGCACTGCGGTCATCCGCAAGACGATCATCGCAGTAAGCTTTTTTCCACACCATGAATTTGGATTGGACTCCCTGCCCGAGCGTCAGAGAGACCGAACCCAGAGCTCTTACGCCTTCGCTGATAGATGCCTGCTAGCGGCACGCCAGAGAGCCGAACTATGAAATACATTGATTGTGGGCTGATGTGGGGCGGGTGAAAAGATTCCACGGGATTGATTGGACATTTAGGAACAGACAGAAGCAGCAGAGACGAATTAAGACCCTGCGCCCCGTTGGGGGGACAGATCGTGCCCCCCATGGGCACTCGCAAGCAGGAGTTCGCCCAACGCTCTCAGGTGTGGCTGGGGCGGGCACTTCACGAGCGTTGCGCATGCCAGAAATTGTCGTGGCGAACTCGTGCTCCTGCCTGTGGCCGTTGATCACTGGCACGCCGTTCCTTCATATTCGGGCGGATCTCTTTTCCCGCGGTTTATTGCTCGATGGTGGCGAGGCCCCTCCTCCCGTAAAATCAATGCGCTGGCCTCTCTCTAGATGGATCGGCGCGCCTCAGGCTACGTCTACACCTTTTTTCTTTCCGCTCCCCCTCATCCTCCTCTCATCTTTCTCGTCGGATGAGCACCCCGCCCCATCTTTGCCGATATTCGAAACTTCGGGATCGTATAGCAAGCGTCCGAACGTGGTGTACCTGTTCCTCCTCCTCCTCCTCCTCTTCCTCCTCCTCTTCCTGCTCCTCCTCCCCCTCATACTCTTTCCCCTTTCCTTAACATCATCATCTCCCTGATCGTCCTTATCCTCATCCTCTGCTCCTCCTTTTCCGCCTCCTCCTCCTCCTCCTCCTTCCTCCTCCATGTTGTTCCTTCTGAGTAATTATTCCCTGTCGCATCCCGAGGCGTGTCAGTAGGGCTGCCTGTGCGTTTCGCCTGAGACGTCCTCACCATGTATGACGATTAGGCTGAAAATGTGTTAGAGCTTTAACGATGGAGGGCGAGCCGTTTTCAAAATGTGGCTCTCGTCTCAGCGCATCGCACATTTGTTTCAAAAAATTGCACGAGCTTCACGGATGGAGGGTGGGTCGTTTTCAACATGTGGCTCTTGCCGTAAAGCCGTGCGCATTCGTTGCAAACATTGCATAAGTTTCACGGAGGGAGAGCGGGCCGTTTTCAAAATTCTGTTCTCGCCCAACCGCCCCGCGCATTCGTTATGACATTTCGCAAGAACATCATGGATGGAGGGCGGGTTTTCCAAAAAGTGGTGTTCGCCCTAACGCCGCGCGCATTCGGTACAAAATCGTAGGAGCTTCACGGACGGAGGGCGGTTCATGTTCAAAGTGTGATTCTCGTTTTAGTGCCGCGCACATCCGCTTTAAAAGTTCACACAAGCGTCAAGGATTCTCACGGCTGACGTTCCAGAAATGGTGTGTTGGCACGATGTCGGATTGTCAGGGCGCAGCAGTTACGTTGATTCGCGGTGATGAAGTCCTAGGAATGGTATCTGGCACGATTCGGGATCGTCAAGACGCAACAGTGATGGTGATTCGCGTTGAAGTCCCAGGCATGGTGTTGAAGTCCCAGGAATGGTGTTCAGGCACAGTTCAGAATGTTAAAACGGTTGCTTTCCAACGGGGCATTTCCATCAGTGAAAATGCATCTTTGTAGGGACCTACGAAAAGGGAGCTTAGAGGAAGTCTTCATTGCAAGTTGGTCCTCCTCTTCGTCCTCCCCATCCTTCTCCTCCACCTCCTCCTCCTCCCTCTCCTCCTCCTCCTCCTCCTCCTCCTCCTCCTCCTCCTCCTCCTCCTCCTCCTCCTCCGCATCATTCTCATCCTTCTCATCCTTCTCATCTTCATCCTCCTCCTCTCCTCTTCCTCCTCCTCCTCCTCCACAAGACGGTGCACTAGGCTGCGGGGGCGAGGCAGCGTGTGAGGCAGGCGCCCGACGGGCATGAGGCGGATGATCAGATGTTTGAGGGTTCTGGGGGCTTCTCCTTCATACATCTTGCCTTCATCGTTCGTTCTTCTCCTCCCTCCCCCCTCTCCTCCCTTTCCGCCCTCCTCCAAAAAACCAGCGAACACATCTGAAAGCATATTTCACGAACCGGGCTCGCCCGAAGGTTCACCTGGTGAGCTATGGAACGGCATCTTTGCGAGTATGTGCCCTGTTGCGCAACGATGTGTTGTG